TTCACCTGTCCTCTCTCACCTGTGTCTCACCTGTGTGTCCTCAGGGCCTGTGCCTGACTCTGCTGCTGTTGGCCATCTTTAAGAAGGCTCTACCAGCACTGCCCATCTCCATCACCTTCGGCCTCATCTTCTACTTCTCCACTGACTTCCTGGTGCAGCCCTTCATGGACAGCCTGGCCAATCACCAGTTCTACATCTGAGACGAGGCCCCGCCCACTTCACCTGACTCCTCGTTACYTTGATGCTGAAAGTCTGCTGATGCACCAAGACTATTTCCTGTGCAGGCCTGGGCGCCACAGGAAGTGATGTAACGGTTACAGGAAGTTATCAGTTTGTCTTTGCTCAGGTGTTGGTTAGAGAATAAGCTCCGCCTCTAATCGTTTTGTCTTTAGGATTCTCTCTGAGGATTCAGAGCTTCAGTAACATTTATTCATTGAGGGTGCTTGTTGTGATTGGCTGATGCTGCAGGTAAACACACCTCCTACATTTGTAGACTCACCTGAGACCTGCCCTGCTGCTCAGCCTGTAAGGAGCTGATGTATGGGAGCCTGAAGAGGACATTATTATTAAAAATAAGAATATACGGAGCCCTGAAGTGGGCGGAGCTACTGGTTTCAGATTAAAATTAKTTTGTTTTATTAAAAACAGAAAAACCTCAAAGAAAACATTCAAATAAAAGTCTGACAGTTCATGAAGCTTATATTTTGAAATATTTGTAACAAACTGTGACTGTTGATGAGCGGAGGGCTCAGCTGAACCGGCTCAGCTGTCTCAACCCACAGGAAACAGGAATTATTATAAAATACAAAATCCTTCAAAATAAAAGCCTGAGGCCAAATTGACCTAAACTCAAGTTTTATTAGTATTTTTTTCCTGAAAGATTTTCTTTTTCTAAAAGACAAACGACYAGTCCAGGTCCGGTCCGGTCTAGGTTCTGCCGGTTCATGCCTCCTCACGGTTCTGATCCACAGAGCCAGGACTGAGACCTGATGGACCTGTTGGCCCAGAACTGCAGACATGTCAACAGGATTTTATTTAATTAATGTTAAACATTAACCTTAGCCCCGCCCCCTGGTGCTGGTCCAACAAGGCACGCCTCCTGTCTGTCCTGCAAGTTCATTTCCTGTGCAGACAGGAAGTGGGACAGCTGGCGTTTGGAATCATCTCTTCTATGGACGGTCTAAGATCCACTTTTTGTCAGAACCAGGTTCCGCTGGACCCTGGACCGGTTCCCTGATCCTTCACGGAACCAGAACCCATCCATCCATCCATTTTCTGTACACGCTTCTTCCTTTTCAGGGTCACGTGGGTCACTGGTGCCCATATCCAGCAGTCNCTCACCTGTCCTCTCACCTGTCTCTCACCTGTCCTCTCTCACCTGTGTCTCACCTGTCCTCTCACCTGTCCTCTCTCACCTGTGTCTCACCTGTCCTCTCTCACCTGTCTCACCTGTCCTCTCTCATCTGTGTCTCACCTGTCTCACCTGTCCTGTTTCACCTTTCTCACCTGTCCTCTCTCACCTGTGTCTCACCTGTCCTCTCTCACCTGTCCTCTATCACCTGTCCTCTCTCATCTGTCTCACCTGTCCTCTATCACCTGTCCTCTCTCATCTGTCTCACCTGTCCTCTATCACCTGTCCTCTCTCACCTGTCCTCTCTCATCTGTCTCACC